TTTCCATACCATCAACTATACTGTATAAGCACAACGAACTACACAACCGTTTAAAAATATCTGCCCGAGTTTTAGTTAGTTACCAACGCAACGAATCGACATTTTTTTTAAATCACCACCTGTTTTCAATCATATATATATTAAAAAGATGTATTTTCAAAATGGTGCAGTAACAATTAAAAATTCAGGTGCCAACACGAATAAAAATTTACTATTACATTAAGTAAATATTTGCTAGAATTGTTATTTCATTATTATTTTTATTTTTTATTTTTTTTACATTATTTAACTATTTTACAGCGCAGTCTGACCCTGTCTATAAGGCTAATAATAAGTAATATACAAAAGCGAATAAACAAAAAGGCACAGTTAGTACGCTTTGTATATTGAATATATAAATGAAAGATTAATTAAATTATATATTAATTGCATTTATAGAGACAGTATCAGATCTGAGTCTCATATATTTTCAATGTTAAACATTCTAACACACAAATTAAACAAGTCGCCTTTCATAAACAACGTATCAACAGAAACACGATAATCAGATCTAGCTTAAATAATTGAGCAAATTAAAATAACAGTAACAAGTAATACCTAAGTAATAGTTATATATCAATTATGCAAATAAGAATACTTTGATAGTACACACATTGAAATTGTACTAAATAACACCGAATATATTGTGAAATTATACGTCAGCGAGCTATTTATTATAAATGATATTCCCTGCTCTTTCCAACTTGTATTCTATCAGCGAATACTACAAGCGTGTACGCTAAAACTATTCGTACCAAATCTCAGTTTAAACTGACATAGCTTTGGCACAAAAGTGCCCATCACAGCTATAGAATAACTTTCATTCCGAACCAACAGACCCTATGTTACAGTGTTGTTGTATAGATTTTACTCTAAACCATCTGCGTGTCACTTAAATTTAAAAAGCTCTATACATTTTTTTTCTTACTTGTATATATTTTTTTTATAAATAATTGAGTTATCATTTTCCGTTTACTTACTAAGATAAAATACATCGAAGTGAGAGCGTGCGAGTGTATCGCGATTTTATTATAAAATATATCAAAATAATAATAATAATAAAAAAAGAGTGTTTACGAATCGAAATAAAAATTTTGACTAGAGTATTTTTTTTTATAAATAACATTTTGTCTTTTATATTTTCAGACCAATTTGACTAGCACTAAATATACGATATACAACTATCAATATTTTAAGACAGCCACAAACAAAGACAGACAAATCGTATTTGTCACAAACATTTAATATTATTTACGGAATACTGAAAAGGGAAGACTTAGGGTATATAATGTTACAAGGATATGTTAGAAAGTTCCCGATTATTATAATATCTTAAACTACGGGGGCGAATTAACTGCATCAGAGCTCATAGAAGACATTTAAAATATAATATAAATATTAAACCTGCAATTATTGGCATCGATTTATTTTGGCACAAATAATAAGTGGCACTAGGCTCTTCCTCACATCTTAATGATCAAAAATACTTCATTGGAAAGCATTTTACACTGGTCCTATATTTACCTTAATAACTAAGTTTACCCTATACATTTTTTTTTAACTTTTATAATTTTTTTCCTTACCGACAATCTAAATCTCGATCTAAATCTAACAATACGAGCAGTCTGGAGAGGGTAATAAAAATATATATAAAACAAATGTCCACAGAAGGTCAACTATTTCCCCGAATAATTTAGCACAACACCACAACATCAATAATGTTTAAAAACAAATTCAACAATCTTTGGTTTTTTGATCCCTGGACCAATTGATGAATTCCGTTCTTGTAGGTACATCGTGTCATAATGTTAAAATTCATTTAATGTTAAATAAATTAGAAGACTATCACATTTATAACACTATTTTTTTTTCATTTAAATCTAACGTCTTTTCATTCTATTTGTGATCATAGACGATTTTTTAAAATATAATATACTGAATGCATCAGTTCACCGTCGTTCCTCTGTTAATGTTAGTATTTCTTAAAGGATTTGATCCCATCGGTTTCGTGTCGAAAGACGTTAGCGTCAATCGACTTTGTATTACGAGTCTCGAACCGAATGACGACTCCGTACGATGACCGATTTCTAAATCGGCTATCATTAACGGAACCGCCATTAGCGTTAAGACTGTAAGCTGCTTACTGTAACACCTAAATTTTTTTTGCAAGGTAATTACTTTAATGTTATTTACAAATATTGTCTTTAACCCTCTCACTCTGTTCTATAAGCTAACTCTAAACTACGCCAGCGATTCCCAGATCTATAACGCACCTAAGTCTAACGTACGCCGACTACCCTCACATTCTTCACGTCATGGATTTGTCACCGATCGATCACATCAAACAAAATAGAACGAACGTAGCCATTTGACCGCTTAAATCCATAGTAAATTCGATCATTTTATTCAAACACGACGTCGGAAAATCTTATTCCCTGAACAGTAAAACAATTATTATATGTATGTGCTATGTATATATAGATCGTACTGCGATCGCTTCCCACGTACCGAATAAATAATCAAAACATTCAGTCCATCGTATTCTTAAGTGCCGAATTCTAATCGCCCCGACTGTAGAGCACACCAACGTCATATAGTCGAGAATAAATATAAGAATATCTAAAATACTTATAAACTCGTAACAAATGTAAACATACATCAAGCTAACGCAGTCAGCTTATATTGGGTTGGTCGTTTAATGTTCATTTTAATATATATAACGGAGTCAGGTGCCCGTAGCGTTGCGTGATGAAGATGCGGTCGTGGTTTGCTACGGGACCCTGACTACGGAACCCCATTCAATGTATGGGTGCCTTCACGATGTGGTTGGGTGCGATGTAGTGGTAACCGGGCAGCGGCAACCCGGCTGTCTCCATAGAAATCCTGCAACCACAACCAGCCTATGTCACGTCCGATCACAGTTTACACAAACATATGAATGGTTATCGGATATGGATGTTAGGATGGTCTGGTCCATTGATAATATATAATGTAGGGAATGAAACTTCTTACCGGGACACGGTATCCAGTTAGCGTAGGATGAGGTACTCGGTGGACTCGGCGACAGGTAACACAGGATTGTATAACAGGATTATGGCGTGGGTTTAGTTTCATATTATATAATCTGCATAATAAAACAACGGTACGGGGAAAGGAAAGGCACGTGTTACATTATGATTTTTATTAAGTATATGTTCTTAACACTTTTTCTTAACAATACTAGCGAATATTCCTGGAAAGAAAACGTTTTTAATTATCTTAAATTTAACATGATTTTTTTTTGTTGTTTCTAAATTACAAACATTATGTCGACAGGCAAACAATCTGAGTACCACACGGGACTACATCTAACATTTTAAAACATTCGAATTGGACCTCGATTGTATTCGCTGTGAACAGCGAAATTGGGAGATTTATATTACCTTACACTCACTATAAAACTACCCGCAGCTAAAACTAGCACTCCAACAGCCATCACATTCCCATACTAAATAGCCAATAAATATATAAACCTCAAGACTGAAAAATATAAACGAATGAGATTTTTTTTAAATAAACATTGTTCCGAACACAATCAAGTGTTCGCACTTTACGTCCTCTACGTGATTAAAAAAATATACAGAGTATAAACTCATTTCACGCCATCGGACCATACATCAAGTGTGTACCGTTTTTGATAATGTTCACAAGATTTTATAGTCATATTATATGTTGATGTATGGCTCAAGGTCGAAGCTAGAACACCCTGTAGCTCGTTAACAATCACCCACTCAATAAACGCGAAGCACTCTGTATAGTCTACAGCTAAGCCTCTTACGTTACTTCTACTATTGTCACATTCCTAGATATCTTTAGATGTCTATTTTATCAATATATATAGTAATCTGATTGATGATAACATTATCCTTCGTCATTAAATCATTTTTGTTTGTCTGTTAACAAAAATTATATTAAAAAAAAGAAAAAGAAAAGTGACTTAGTAATAAATACGAATATCATGACAGTCGGTTAAGATACGGAGATTTTAATACAATTATTATATTAACATTGTATTGTTATGATTCAATTGTATAATAAATATTTGTTTGTTAAAAATTATCTTATTTAGATAAATATAATTTCGTATTACAATCTCAATATCTCCCCGTACAGTCTGATATTCGTTTAAGTCTTTAATATTTCCGAACGACATCCGCAGTCATCTACACACACGTAAAACACTATGGAGGTCGTATTAAATAAATATATTTCTAAAATACACGAATAAACGATTATTATGTTTAAAAATAATATTAGTGTCACAAAATTTAATGACAGTGAATCTAAAACTAAAATTAAGTGACGAATCAACGAGTCTTTATCTCGAGTCGACATCGGCAGTCTTTGGAAACGGGACAAAATATGGGGGATTCCCGTCGCTCGGAATGACGTGTTATATGAAATTATACCACAACGGTAGGTTCTATACTATAATTAATTAATGGGAATTATTCAAAGAAATGTTATATGAGTATAGGATTTCTTTACACTTGAACGACAGGAATTGGATAAAGAAAATAACCGATATCGACCTTCTTTGGATGTGTCGGGTTGAGGGTAGACTTATAACAATCATTGAGCTCATTAATCGGGTATAAAAAAATTCATTAACACTACAACTAGAGGCGTCGCGTCCCCGCGTCTTATCAACTATATCACACTGTCATATTAATACAACAGTCGACTTCATAGTAAAAAAACTATTAAGACAGAGTCACACTGGTCTGTCGCAACGTGTATTTGAATAGAAGCTCCTCGCTTCATATATTAATTTAGTTTTTTACTATCGTCTGTTATATAATAGATTATAATTTTCGTGAGTATATTTTAAACGTCAACAGCTACAACAGACCAGTGTATTTCTGTCATAACATGTTTCATATTGTCTATCAAGAGTGAGGGACGCGTCGTTTGCTTGTGAGTTAGTAGGGACTATATTTGTTTCTGTCCTTGGATCCTTTGGCGTCGTCGTCGCGGCGTGTGAGCTTGTGCGAGCGGTGGACCCCGGTGGTTTGCACGGGCCCCCCCGCCAGGAGGTCCGTGAGGCCCCCCAGCGCGGACAGCGAGCCTAAGGCCCCCAGGGCCCCGCTCTTGCTGAGCAACTGCGCCAGCGGGATGGCGGACGCGAGGGGCCCCGACCCGCCACCCTCCAGATTCGCCTTCTGCAGCTCCACACTAAGAGCGGACGGGCATCAAGGAAAGGTTTCAGGGTACGGTCGCAGGAGTATAGGGACTTTGTGTTTCATTTATGACATTAAAATTTACGTTTATACGACACAAACACGAGTATGGAACACCCGGATGTAATAGGTATATTGAAGGACGAGTCGGGATTAAAATATAGCAAGTGGACTATCGGAGATCGGATTACTTGAGGTAGGGTGTGACTTACCTTCATATGTTACGTTGTATATAGCGTGGTACTCACCTCATGTTAATCAGATACTGCGCCAGCGCCACAGAGTCCGGGTTCCCAGATATAGTGATGGTGCGGTCCGTACTACCTCCCTCGCGCTCCTCACAGTTCGATATCCGGATCATGGCGCCGGATATTTGACGGATCTCAGCTATTTTGGTGCCTCCCTGTTTTTAAAAAGTTTGTGAGAATTGATGTTAAAAAAAAGTTCAATAATCATTAATCGAAGATAACTCAAACTCAAATAACTTTATTCAATATAGAAGTATTACACTTTCTTATTGATGGTCACTTGAGACAATACCATTATATTATATATTTATCATAATACAATTATAGTTTTGTTATCTTAATGCCCACTTAGTAAGGTTTTTGTTTTAATAAAGGTTCGTCCTACTAATAATAAAAATTCAAAAGTCGATATCTTACTTACATATTATAAATTTTGATATTTTTTTTTATTTGACACAAAAACTATGTAACATAATTTAGTTCGTAAATTAGAATCCCATATAGTAAATTATTTATCTTAAATGTTTGTGTTGTCTCATAGTAACATAAGACAGACGATAGATGGCGCTGTCGGTATATTATGAGCATACCTTAATATACTACTTTTAATAAGGGCCCGTTCAAGTATTACGTAAGCAGATATATTACAATTATTTACCCCCCTATCCCCCTTGTCAGCAAAAGTAAGCAAAGCTCTTACCCCCTCCCCCCATGCTTACGTAAAAATTTTGAATTACTGTATTTTTTTTCATATAAATGCAGAAAAAAAAAATTAATTATGTTTTTTAATGGATCTTCTCCATGTGACGATTAAAAAGTAAATAACTACCGATGACGTAATCATCACCTAGACTCCCCTACCTACCATGTCATCCAAAATAATCAAAGCAAAGACCCCCCCGCCCCTCCATAGTGCTTACGTAATACCTGAACAGCCCCTATGCTTAGAGTACATATCAAATTAATTTTGATTTTAATTTCAGCCTCACCTTTCCAATAATGCATCCGATAAGTTCATTGGGCACGGTCATCTCGTGTGATTGTTGGTTGGTCGCCGGTTGGTTGCGACCTGTGTTAGACGACCTCAACTGAGAACCAGCCAGCGCTGCTAGCGCTGTGAATATAAATATGAATGAAATATTATATTCAAATAAATAACATACGAAATAAGCCAGTATAGTCCGTTAGACTTAAGTTGAGCTTTGCATTTGTGTGCGTGAAAGTAACAGTAGGGTTAGACAAAATCTTTTAGAATTAAATTTTATTATAATTTAAATAGATACATAACATAAGTGCTATAAAATAAGCAAAACTTGTAAAATGTCAGATGGAAATATAATGAATATTATGGAAAAAAATATTAATTGAAAATTTTTTTGAAAAAACTATACAAATTCTTCTTCACTTGATATTGCGTTTTCAACATTTGATTTTGCTACTAGTACAAAAGTTGAAGTGAGGAAAGGTGCGGAGCGGAGTGAAAGCAGAATAAACCGGTTTAAAATTAGAAAAGAATGTGACATTCAAAAATTTGACATCTCACCTACACTATCCGTGTGCACTCACACAAATGCAAAGCTCAGCTTAAATCAAACTAAGCACTATAACATATTGTACATTATGGATAGGTTTTAATATATATTTACAAATATTTTATATGTACATATAAGTTACTGACCAGCCGGGTTAAGTCCGCCAGTGTTCGCGGGTCCCAATCCGCCAAGCCCCAAGGCCGCTAAGCCAGCCAGTGGTGATTTAGCCAAACCGCCCATCTGTAAGCAGATGAATACATTCCCATATCATTCATTTCTATATAAAAACACGATATATTTCTCAAGCTCCATCTGCATGTTTCATCTTCGTATATCGGGATGGGACGCTGGAAAGGGCCTGGGTAGAAATAAGATCTTACAGTAAAGATAATATAAAAGAACCGTTCTTCTTCAATAACTTTAATCCGTTCTATATGGTTATGAGAATTAAAATCATTGAAGAATATTACCACCACTGCGTGAGTCGTGTGGTGCTGCCCGTATTGAACATTTAATATTAATTCTGTTTTGATATCTAGTGACATGTATGTATGTCATGCACTTGTAAGTTAATTTATCTCATAAACGGATCGGCGTGGAGGCAAAGTAGGGAGAGGTGCATATAGAGGAATATTTTCAAATGAAACAGCTTCGTCTCGCGAGTGATATTCTGAGACTCGGTCTCTGCGTTGCAGAAAACAAACAGGTAAAGCTTGACATTGTTTCAGATAAATACGACTTATTAAAAATAATGCGTGGACGTTTAGTACTAAAGGATTCTATCTACGTATTAATTGTTCGAGTTCGGGTAACATTACATCGGATATATACCGTGCTGGGATCTCTATTGACAAAGCGTAGGGTTTCAGCAAAATAATGTACGGTAGCATTCCACACCTCCGGGATACGTAGGGAGCATTCTCTACCGGGGAACGAACACACTACCGCTACAGGAACCGGAAACGAACGAAACACTTTTAAGGAAACAGGGCAGCACCAATCACATAATCAATCCTTACACCGCTCAACCTCATAGAGAAATAACCCTACAATATAGGTGACTATCGGTTTTCAAGTCAACAACTGATTTAACAACTGATGTTTCTTGTAATAGGTCATAAATGTACTATAGGTTCTCGAAACGAATTCAATCCTAAGTGATATTCGAGCGGATCTCGAAGGTTCAGAGTGGGGGGTGGGTCTCTATGAGGTGAGCTCACTCACGAGGTGGTGGTCCAGCGGCGGCAGGAGGTGAGCCGGCGGCAGGGCTCCCACAAGCGGCGGCTTCATCTCCAGCATCGGGAACACCGGCGCGCACACCGCCTACCACACCCACACCTTACTATACCCGCGTTACACAACCCTAACACACGTGTGACGTCACGATCTACCTCGTATAGAGGCATTCAACTCAGTTTTAAGCCTCTCTCATCCCTATACTACCTCTAACAAAATCTACGAAGCGACAACCCTGTATGAAGTATTGATCACGTCGGCCTTATTATACCCGCGGTACACAACCCTAACGTCACGATCTACCTCGTATAGAGGCATTCAACTCAGTTTAAGCCTCTATAAACCCTAAACTACTTCCAAGAAAATCTACGAAGCGACAACCCTGTATGAAAATTGATGACGTCAGAACTGTCTGTCACTGGAAGACATTACTAAGTGAGAACCTTTAAATAGATCACGTACATATATCTAAGATAATGAAATAGTATTAACTGTAACAGCCCTGACTTAACAATCGCCTGATATAGCTTATTAGTTAACTCCTTTGATAACAGATGGCGTTAGCATCTCAATCCAATATATGAATTAAAATTTTCATTATATTTTATTAAGGATTATATTAATAAAGAAATACAAAGAAAATTAACAGAATTTGTTTCAATTACGTATCGCATTCTAATAATTTAACTTTGAAAATGTTAAAACTACTCTAGTTGAGAATGTTTTTGTAAACAATATTAACACTCACAAAGATATTTTCATGTAATGTAATTTTCTGTAATATTTGTAAATTTAACTATTAATTGTGACTTCCTTTATCTATTTCTATAATATGCATACCGTCAACATTTGTCACGTTCACAATAAGATGTAATAAATTGAAAACAATATATTAGTTGTCTGAGACAGATTTAACTTGTGATTAATTCTGAACCTGTTGGCAGCCTCGAGACAATATATTAATGCTGACCTAGAATTAAGGAATCACTGACTAATTAATTGTTTTGTTACAGCTTATATTATTACTATCAATAAAAGTCAAATATTATAATATATAACTTTAAGATGAGTATGTGTTCTGCAATTCGAAATAGTCACCCCCAATTGATCTAAGATTTTCACTTCAATGCATTCAAATTAAACTATATTTATGGATCAATAGTGCATGTTTAATTTACATTTTATTTTTCTGTCAACCAAAGTCAATCAAATGATTAAAAAATGGTTAAAATGTAAACAAATAAACTTTAAATCTGAAAACATAGTTCAACTTAAATAATCCTCACTTCCTATCATTTGTGAAATTGCATTTGTCATACCTTTATAATGATAAGTGTAGTATAAAGTTAGTCATTGTTTACCTGAGTAATTTGCTATCAAACCAAAATGTTTGAGTAAATTTCCATAAGAATTATAAAAATACCTCATTTCCATACAATCTGTATCAGTGAATTAATCACGTACATTTCAATAACCATACAAAATATTACATTCTGTTACCTCACTGTACTGTACCAAAAAAAATACTAATAAGTATATGAGTTTTTTAATTTAGTACATCTAAAATATGATTAATTTGTATATATTATAAGCTCACATCTTGTGCAGGCACCGCATAGTTTCCTTGAATAGTGTATGCTTGTCCACCAGCTAGTATTACTGGACCTGCTACATTAGGCTTCGGCCTGTATGGAATTGTTGCGCCTTTTGGAGGACTCTGAAATTATAATAAATATATATAAGTATGAAAATGTTATATTACTGATGAATAGTTTTATTGTATGTACAAGTCAGTGTTAATTTTGTGGATATATCAAATGTTTAGAACATAGTTCTCTATAGAACTGAAAATATATATGAATCAAGTGTTCATATACAAAAATTCTTCATTATTTATGTAGACATGCTAAATATTGTATTATAAGTTTTAAGCTTTTCCTAACTACTTATGGTATTTTATGTTTAGGACATAATTCTAATGGACTTGTTACCTTAAGCTGTATTAAAAACTCAGTCATTGAAAAGTAGGTATAATTTAGAGTAAATTAATTTGGTAACACTAAAATTCTAGATTAAATAATTGTATGTTCCTAAATTTCCAGTCTCAATAAGTGGTAAATATAGTAATAGGGACAATTTACTCACCTCTAGCATCACACAGCAGATGTGATAGATGCATTGTGTGATAGCATCACATGTACCACTGATTGTGACTGCACGCTCTGTAGAGTTCGGCAACATCTCACTTGCCACCTGAATATTAAGAAAACATAAATAATAACAAGTTTTAATATAAAAAAAAAAATTCTTAGACAAAATAGGATATGAAATCATAGACAACAATATAAGGTGAAGTAGATGAATACAGCTATTTATATCTTTGCATTAAATTTGGTCTTTAAACTTTAATATTCGCAATACTTTACAGCAATGAGCCTTTTTGAAGTCAAGTCAAGAAATTTGTTATTGACTTAGATTGTGAGTAATAGTAATTATGTGTATATTGTATAATTTGGCGAAATATACCTGTATGTTAGCGCCGGTAACATCTCTGATTTCCTTGATCTTAGAACCACCTTTGCCGATGAGTGAACCACATTGTGATGCTGGCACGATCAGCCTTAATGTGATCGGGGCCCGAGATCCACCACCACCTTCATTGAACTGCGAGCACCACTGAGAGATAATGACAATGTTAGTTATAACAAAGTAAAATAATTTAAATTTTCCTTATCCTAGCTAATAGATATAATATGTAGAGGATTTGTTATAGTTCTGTGCTTTATTCTAACAATAGCAGATAAATCCTATTATTTCCTTTAAAAATAGTCCTGGTTCACAGTAAAAATCAAGTGAGTTTATGATGGCACCTTTAATAATGTGTTACTGTTGTTTATATGTATTTGTTTAAAAATAAAACAATATTATTATTATTATAGTAATCAAACACCAGAAGTTGTATTAAAGTAACTAGGTAATGTCTTATCAATAGAAAGTATGAATCTGTTCTTTATAGAAATTATTCTAGGTATCACTTACACATGATTGTATAGCAAATAACTTATGAATGCAACTGAACATGTTTTGTTTGAATTAGTTTAGTTTAGATTTGCCAGCAAAAAATATACATTATTATATGTAATATCGCATAAGGTTCTACTTTACATATTAAAATGTCGTTATATTAAAAAAAAAAATGAAATTCAATTATTATATACATATATTATGGTAAGTTAAATGGAAAAAAAATACATGTAAAGCAGACCCTGGCTAAAGCTGGGAAATTGCCAGGTAGAAGAAGATTATGGTAAGTTAAATACTTAGTTTCCTGTAAGTATAAAATGTTTACTAAATTTGTTTACCTCTTCAAATTTTTTGCATATAAGTGTGAATGCTTTGAATATTGAACTGGTGTTCCCCGTGACAGTGACAATTCTTTCTGGACATGATCCATCTGATATGTTGATTTTCGCACCCGACTGTAATAAATAAACATGCACATAAAATAACAGGCAAACATTATATTTTACAGTACAATGAAAAAAAGAGCATAGTGGCCAGTAGCATTTGATGTTTAGAAAGTTAGATTTACATCACGCAGGGTTGACGCTCTTGTGTTTTTTTTTATATATAAAAAAATCATTGTCATTCTTTGTTTTTATTGTGTTAAATCATTTTCAACTCACCTCCTCTCTGAATCTTTTGACAATTTCCCCCTTCTTTCCAATAATACTGCCGACTTCCTGCAAAGGAGTAATTTAATGTCACTCATCATATACATATGAACGTAATCGCCGAAGGTATTACAAAAATAATGTTATAATTCGTGAAGCGGCAACCATTGGCAAGTATTGTGCAACGAGCGCACTCGTAATTAATGCAGCCGCATGAAGATTTATATAGTACAAAAGATTTCCCGTCTGCCATCCAATTATAGATGCAGCATAGCAATTCTTTGCAATAATAGTATCAGGGATGCACAATGACAGTTTTAGATACGAATATTCCTGGCATCACAGCTTGACTTCGAGAATATTTGAACAATGCTTTAGTGTCGTCTTAGGCTCACTAATACATCTTTAAAAGACGGAAATAGAACGGCGAATACGTCGCGAGTTCCTCGTTCGAACGCACGATATATTTATGTTAAAATAAATACACTTATTATTCTGTTTGTTAACATACAATATTAGCTTGGAAACGTGATTTATAATTCGTACAGTCAAATGTTTTATCATCATGAATGGTCTTTAAGTGGTTTGATTAATTGCATTGTGACATCTTATCTACGTCCAAATGGTTCGGACGGATGCATTGTCTGATAAGAAATGTCTAAGAATACTACAAACAAATTACATGCAAATGAACTAAAATGCAACAGATGTAAGGAGTTCCATTTAGAAAAATAAATAATAGAAATCAACTCATACATACAGCCGATATCTGGCTTGCGGCCAGTCACATTTTAAATTGGATTAAAGCCAATTAAAACTTGTTAAAACATTTAGGGATTCATTAATACTTTTCTTCTGTCAATAAAAGAATTTCTTTATGATAATCATCATTCTTAATAAGGAAATCTTCATTATTTGCATACATTATACTACTGATGTGCATGCATTTCACTAATAATCGATTCTAAGTAATTTATAGCTACATTTTATTGATAAATTACTAGCAGCAATATTACAAAGCATGCAAGCTATATTAAAAGGGATAACATGTTATAAGGAAACCATACATGTGTCTCTAACCAGATTTAAATATCAATGTCACATTGGATTAACATACTTTACAAACATGTACCATTAATATATATACATATATGTATATAACTTTATATACATATCAATTGTTTCTTTGTCAATATGTTTATATAATAATCGTGTAACTGATAGGGTATTATATATAGATATTTCTCTGTAATGGAAAATGTAAGTGGTTCTCGCAATAAAATATTGGGCACATGTTCACAGGTCGCATTTCATAGAGATGAGTATTCCGTTACTTGATATTGTTAAAATTATATTCTATATATTAATGGATGGCAGGATAATTTGATGGCTAACATTCCGAGAAGTATGAGAAAGGTTAAAGTAATTGAAGTGCACATAAATGCAACAATACTAATGAACCACGATATATACATGTCAATTTGAAACATTCTTACCTTCCCCTGCATAATCAGTCTGATAGTGAGGGTAACTTTTGAGTCCTCCTCATGAAGAGTGGGGGCTTTCTCCAGTTCCATGCTGGAGGAGGTGTCCAAGTCTCGCGGAATTTTGTCTGCGTACAGGGCTATGGGCAGGGGACACTCCACTCAATCTAATGGCTGGGAGACGGGGCTCTGGCACGCAGTGCAGGCAGGGTAAGCTGGAAAACAGCCGCACATCTCATAAGGAACGTCCAAAGGTTACGAGCGCTAAAGGTATGGGATATAGGTTTTCATTGTTTGAAAGCGATACTACATACTTTATTTTTATTTACAGTGACAATCTGTGGCAAGCTCGACTGTATGAGGGCTGCTAATGCGGTTCTAGACCTTATTGCAGACTAACTCGTCCTAAGTCGGACCGGATTTCGTGGTTGTAACACGAGTCGGCTTGCTCTGGTCCGAGGGACCGTTACTTGAACTCGGATACAGGTTCGCGAGTCGCAACATAACCTCAGCGTCGCGCCTCATGGCTAACCGACCGGGTTATCGATCCCGCATATTCTAAACAAATCCAGGCGACACTGCTATTGTCGCTTGCTTACCTCGTAATTTATTCCGTAGGACAATGATAACATAACAAATCTTAAGACTAATATTATCACCAAGATTTGTATAAAATCACACTTATCACAATTTTCATAATCACTTAAAATTAAAAAACTAATAAAATTCGACGCAGATGACGCGTCTATGTGAAGCTTGTAGTTGTCATGGACAACTGTAATTTGTTTTGACTGGTTTGGATACTAGGTAGATTGTGAAATGTGAGTCGATTCTCGGATGACAGCTACCAGAGACAAAGATAGAGCGCGATAGCAGCGCTATGCGATCGTGTATTAGAATAACAGTATAGAAAATAATACTCTATTATTATAATATTATCTACCAGTTTATATAAATTTATTGATATAATTTTGATTCAATTATGGTTATAAAATTGTTTTGTATTGAATAAATAGATATATGACGTATTTTTGTAATAAGTGAGAACGGATTTATATTATACAAGTTTAATTTATTCACTATGATTTCTCAGGATGAAAATAATTAAAAAATAAGTTAGAGACTTGTTAAAATTGAAGAAGTTTTAATCTATTTCAAAAGTAAGTTTTTGCTACTTTTTTTAAGTTTCGTTTTTGATGTCTTTTAGGTATTTATTGCGTTTATCAGTGAGGAATTGATTTTGACTTAGAAGAATAAGAAAATTATAGTCATAAATTGTATAATCGAAGAAAGTACATAATTAAACTTTGGAAAACTTATTATGATTTAGGAAAGTATATATAGGTTAATTAGAAATTGACTTTATTGAGACTATTTTAATGTTTTCTGTCTTATATTTAATGTTTATATAAAAAAAATATATTTAGCAGCGGAATGCTTCGTCATAAGTCTTCAGCCTGAGCAGGATAAATGAAAAACCCACCTACCTACTAGTTTAATTTCTTAGTGGGTTTTCGACATGTCCCTCTGGGCCTTGCCCAGTATATGGTTCCTATGTGATTATAAAAACAAATAGAATGTTAAAAGAAAGTAAAACAACAAATAAATGTAAAACAAACCTGTTATAGAATGGATAACAAATGTTGAAAATACCTATACCAATGAAGCATTTATTTACTTTATGTTTTGGAAGTATTTGTACAGGAAGATGTATCATGGATTGTAGCTTTTCATAATTTTATTTTTGAAACATTCGAGATAGGTTGAGCAAAAAAATTTAAATTAGAATATAGAATAATAAATTTGAAATAAATAATTGAATTGTTATTCGAATGAGTAATAAAGAATAAAGTTTTCATTGAAAGAAGCAGCAATAGACCAAAATTTTCATGTTCAATATACATATATATAATGTAACCTGTTCATGTTCAATATACATCTAATGATGATATATTTCCGAACATGATGTCTCATTAAAGAGAACATAATTATTTCATGAATGAATTCTAAATATCTAACTAGAGTTTAACAGATCTTTCTGTAGAACACTTAGAAGAAAATCCATCATAATATAGATTCTGTCACTTTTAGGATTCCTGGCAGACATAATTTCAAATTTGTCGTTTTTGAAGGGTGTTTTTGTATAGGTCTCTTGTATTATTAAAAATCCCAAGAAGCTATTACTAAGCATTCAAATGGAAAAGTCTTGAAGTTTGGTTAATTTACTACGGTCATTAAGTATTACACTTATCCTGCTCAAAAACAACAACATAGTTCTTAAACATACATGCATTGTTTTATGGGTTTTCATTTATATTATGACTCTCTATTAATGGCCCTGTCGTAATTTTCTTAACATTGTGGGTTTGAGAATAATGATTTTTATTTTTTTGCACTAGTTTGTAAAAAATTCTTTGGACTTCTAAATAACGAATAGAATTTCGATTATGTCTTGAGTTTTTATTTACATTACAGCAAGTAATCAGAGGAGAAGAGATGAAAGACTAACATAAAACTTAAAATAAGAAACGCGAGTTTTGTTTATTTATGTACTCGTGAAAATATCAGAACTTTTCATAAAAAAATTGTCGTATGAAAAATGTTGTGTTAATAAGAATTGTAGGGTGGAGAAGTAATTAAGTTCTTATGGTAAATAAACTTTTAATGTTCTTTAATCAAGAAAAATATTCATAAAAATTACAATGTTAAAATAGGCGAAGCTAGCACAGCCAAGTCCTTCATAACATTGTAACCATGGTAGTTATTTGCCCTATTTTTTTTTACGTTGTAAAATAAATATTGTTGCAATTATTAATTAAGTAATAATAAATACTTAATAAGTAACATTATTATACATGCATATCTACTTCTAATTGAACTTTTGTGATGAAGTAACTATTCTATTATGAATAGTTAATTCATTACAGTACAGTACTTTGTTTTCCTCTGATACATTATTTTTCCCGATATTAGGTGAATTTAATTGTTAAAAAAGACGATACATTGAGAATGTGTTATGGAGTTAATATTAATTAATAGTCAACGAAATATTATTATAATTAGAATATTAAAATGAAATTTACTGTTTTATTAAAATAAAGATACGTAAGGGTTTAATAGCATGAGTTAAAGTCAAGCCATCGTCTTTTTCTGCTGAACACAGGTTTTCTTCAAATCCCGCCAACTGTCCAGGTCTTGAGAGGCCAATATCCAATCACTTGACACTTTTCTTACATTGCTAGTCCATCGTGATGTAAAATACAGAAGATCCTACACTATGATGACCAAGATGAAGTTTCCACTCCAACGAGTTTAGGTTCCATCAATGCAACGTCTGGAGACATGACCAGCCTATTTCCATTTTAGCGTGCTTATTCTACAAGCGATGTCGGTAACATCACATCTCTGGCGTAGGTTTCTATTCAGAATTCGGTTAGCCAGAGAAACTCGTAATCACACGTGCCATATCCCACTGAGTGACCTTCAATTTGTGGACCAGTCAGACGTAACTATCTGAACACCTAGACGAAATGTATACTTCTTCCTTTTCAATGTTGGGCGAACTAATAGATGCATTGTTTGAAGTCACATAAATTTTTCGTTTTTAGTTTTTACATAAATTTGCATAGATTTTTGTGTATTGTTATTTTATCGTATTATAAATAAAAAAGAGGTTAATGTAGTAATAGAAAATACAATTTATTATATATTAAAAATAAAACAACTTTTTTATCGTTATAACGCTCATACATGCCGATTATCGAGCAAGACTCAATTTGTACAACTTTAATATGTATGTAATGTGTTAAGCAGGAACAAAAGTGTTGGTGAAAATATACATATAATAATCAATCGTAACATACTGTTAATTTTAATTGAATAAATATATATTTGAAAACTAGTTAATCTGATGGGTTTAATTTTTGTAGATAATAGTTCCATGTCTAGTTTTTTTTTTGGTGGGAAGACTATAAAGATGATATCATGAAAGTGGTAAAGAAAATCCCACAGAATTTTTCTTTATTACAGAAAATTATATTGTTCTCTCTCGTATCTCCTTTCAATAGATTTTGAACACTCTCCTTTATGAGAAGCAGTTTGAATGCAATAGAATGCAGAAGAAATAATTGCCTTTGACAGTATTTACATTGTAATAATGTTTAAGTTAATATCACAAAAATAGAGAAAAAAGTCGTCTACATACTATGAATTTTAAAGATTTTTAATAAGTAACAATTTTATTATCTTTTAAGAGAGCTGCGTTCGATTTAAAATATTATACCAATAACAAAACATTTATGAGCATAAATTTAACAACTTATAAGTGCTTATTTTTATTTAATATCAAATAAGAGATGATATAAATTTCTTGTGATATTAAAGTTATTTTGAAGAGGAAGACATCATCATAAATCGCGGAGCAGTGAAAGTAATACGTAATGCAATATGAATAAGGGAGTCCCCTATTATAAAGATACGTCTGGTAAACCCGGACAGGTAATAACCATTTTATAACAGGTAATTTAATTTGTGCCCTCTCAAATTCTAGCGAAATTTTTAAAGAGTTGCTCGTAATGCGAGAAACCAGATTCTTCTTGAATGCCCGAGAAAAATACACTAGAAAAGACCATTTCAATTTTATGAGACTTGGAAGTAAAATTTAATTTGCTTCTAAGCACACGGCCAAGAGTTTATTGCTTATATTGTTGGTGGGGAGAATAATAAAATATGCAGTAAATGTGGTATTATTTGTACAGATGACTTTTATTGTTTCATTGATTGAATATCTGACGATTCAAACGTGTTGGAGATCGTCCATTCAAAATATATATCGTATATGTATAGGACTTTTTATAAAACAGTAAGGATATTACTTCTAACATTTAATTTTATTCTCATTTAAATTTATGAAAATATTTAACAAAAATCGTACTATTGTTAATAATAATCAGATTTATATCAGCTTTATAGATCGCATTAAAGTATTAGGTATCAACATTATCGCAAATAGTCAATAACACGGAATGGTATCCTTAAGTAAATCTGTGTTATCCGAAACAACAATTCGGGAAGCCGGATTCTTGGAAGGGTTT